TGGGTAAGACTGGTAAGAGTAGGGAACAATGGAAGATTAAAGATATTGAGGTTCTGGTCAAGAGTAAGAAAGAGTCATCTATTAGGTATAGACAACTGGATCAAGCGAATCTCTTGAAGAGTATAAGGGCTGTAGTGGCATTCTCAAGGAAAATCAGGAGGGCAAAAAGTGAATAAGAGATACACTTGGCAGATTAGGTTAAGGATAATCTAAAGAGATTCTACTTGTACATTAAGAGCAAAAGAGCAACTGGGGAGAGAATAGGGCCTCTCAACGATCAACAAGTTTGTCTATGTGTGGAACCACAGGCGATGGGAGGATACTCAATGGATATTTCGCATCAGTATTTACTGTGGAGAAAGAAATGGAGGCCAGGGAACTCGGGGAAATAAATATTGATGTCTTGAAAATGATCCACATTACAGAAGAGGAAGTCCTGGAGGTCTTAAAAAACATAAAGGTGGATAAATCTCCAGGACCCGATCAAGTGAGCAGTTGCTTTGAACAGAAAGTCAATGAAACAATGTCAGCCTCAGATGCACCTGTACCCATGGTCACCAGAGCAACCGTTAGATCAGCCTTCATAAGAGTGAAACCATGAAAAGTGACCAGCCTGGACAGAGTCCCCGGCCGTGCACTGAGATCCTGCATGGACCAGCTGGCAGGAGTATTTGCAGACTTCTTTAACCTCTCTTTACTACATTTGGAAGTCCCCACCTGCTTCAAGAAGACCACCATCATTCCAGTGCCAAAGAAAAATTATGCAGCATGCCTGAATGACTACTGCTGGTGGCTTTGAACTCCATAATTATGAAGTGCTTCCAGCATACCAAATTGCCTTGATCATTTGCAGTTTACCTACTGGCACAACAGATCCACAGCAGACACCATCTCCCTGGCCCTACACTCATCCCTGGAACATCTGGATAACAAGGATACCTATGTCAAGATCCTACTTATTGACTACAGTTCCACCTACAACACCATAACACCAAACAAGCTCATCTCTAAACTCCGAGACCTAGGTCTTGGCTCCACCCTCTGTAACTGGATCCTCGACTTCCTGACCCATAGACCACAATCATTAAGAATAGGCGAAAACACGTCCTCCACCATAATCCTCATCACCAGTCCCCCACAAGATATGTGTACTCAGACCTCTACTGTACTCCTTATACACTCACAACTTCATGAGGCGGCTGAGGAAATTCGGCATATCTACTAGGACTCTCACCAAATTTTATAGATGCGTCATAGAAAGAATTCAATCTGGATGCATCATAGCGTGGTTTGGCAACTGCTTTTCCCAACACTGCAAGAAACTACAGAGAGTCGTGAACACAGCCCAGTCCATCACACAAACCAGCCTCCTATCCATTGACTCTGTCAGCCACTGGTGAAGTTCTGGAAGTCTGAAGGTAGCTAATGTTGTTCCATTGTTTAAGAAAGGTAGCAAAGATAAGCCAGGAAACTACAAGCCAGTAAGCCTGACAAAAGTGGTAGGCAAGTAACTGGAGAGGATTCTGAGGGACAGGATCAACCAATATTTGGATGGTCAAGGTCTGATTAGGGATAGTAAGCATGGATTTGTGCATGGGAAGCAATGTCTGACAAATCTTTTAGAGCTTTTCGAAGAGGTAACCAAGAGGATGGATGAGGGTAAGTCAGTGGATGTTGTCTATATGGACTTTAGTAAGGCCTTTGACAAGGTCCTGCATGGCAGGCTAGTCATGAAGGTTAGGTCGCATGGGATCCAGAGAGATCTAGCTAATTGCATTCAAAATTGACTCGATGGTAGGAAGCAGAGGGTGATGGTTGAAGGTTGTTTCTCGGACTGGAGGCCTGTGACAAGTGATGTGACACAGGGGTCACTGCTGGGACTTTTGTTATTTGTTATTTACATAAATGATCTGGATGTGAATGTACAAGGCCTGAATAGTAAGTTTGCAGGTGATACAAAATTAGGATGTATAGTTGATAGCGAGGAAGATTATCAAAAATTACAGAGGAATCTTGATCAGATGGGGAAGTGGGCTGAGGATTGTTAAATGCAATTCAATACAGATAGGTGTGAGGTGTTGCACTTTGGAAAATCAAACCAAGGTAGGACTTATACAGTAAATGGGAAGGTCCTGGAACAGAGGGACCTAGGAGTACATATACATAGCTTGTTGAAAGCGGCATCACAGGTAGACAGGGTGATGAAGAAGGCATTTAGCATGCTGGCCTTCAACAGTTGAGGCATTGAGTATAGGAATTGGGATGTTATGTTACAGGTGTATAAGTTGTTGGTGAGGCCGCATTTGGAGCATTGTGTAAAGTTTTGGTCACCCTGTTATAGGAAAGCCGTAGTTAAACTGAAAAGTGTGCAAAGAAAATTTACGAGGATGTCGTCAGGACTAGTAGGCCTGAAATATAGGGAGAGGTTGGCCAGGATAGGACTTTAATCCTTGGAACATAGGAGAATGAGGGATGACCTAATTGAGGTGTACAAAATCATGATGGGCATTGATAGGATGACTGCATATAGTCTTTTTCCCAGGGATGGGGAATTGAAAACTAGAGGGCATACAGTTAAGGTGAGTGGGGAAAGATTTAAGAAGAACCTGAGGGACAACTTCTTCACGCAGAGAGTGGTACATATATGGAATAGGCTGCCAGAGAAAGTAGTTCAGACAGATACAATAGCAACATTTTAAGAAAAAATTGAATACGTACATGGATGGGTAGGGTTTAGAGGGAAATGGACCAAATGCAGGCAGTTGGAACTAGCTGAGTGGGCACCATGGTCAGCATAGACCAGATTGGGCTGAAGGGCCTGCTGTATTTCTCTTTGACTATGACTCTATGACTCTATCCACCCTTCCCACTGCTTCAGGAAAGCAAACAACATGATCAAAGACGCTTCCCACCCCAGTTATACCCTCTTCCACCCTCTTCCATTGGGCAGAAGATATAAAAGTTTGTATACACATACAAATAGATTCAAGAACAGCTGCTTCTCCAATTTTATTACATTTCTCAATGGACCTCTCAAATTTTAAATTTAATGTTCATCTCGCTCTATGTACACCTTCTCTGCAGCTAAAATATTGTATTCTTCATTTTGTTCTATTACCCTAATGCTGTTAATATGGTATGAATTGTCGTACTGCATGCTAAACAAAACTTTTCACTGTACCTAGGTACATTGTTATTTCTCTATTCATTTGTGGGATATGGGCATCGCTGGCTGGTGAGCATTTGTTGCCCGTCCCTAGTTGCCCTTGAGAAGGTGCTGGTGAGATGCCTTCTTGAACTGCTGCAGTCCTCCTGCTATAGGTTGACCCACAATGCCCTTAGGGAGGGAATTCCAGGATTTTGACCCAGCGACAGTGGAGAAATGGTGATATATTTCCAATTCAGGATGGTGAGTGGCTTGGTGGGGAACTTGGAGCTGGTGGTGATCCCATATGTCTGCTGCCCTTGTCCTTCTAGATGGAAGTGTTTGTGGGTTTGGAAGGTGCTGTCTGAGGATCTTTGGTGAATTTCTGCAGTGCCTCTTGACCATAGGAAGTTGAGAGGTGAGCTTATAGAGGTTAATAAAATCATGAAGGGCATAAATAAGGTGAATAGTAAAGGTCTTTTCCTTCAGGTGGGTGAGTTCAAAACTAAGGGGCATATTTTTAAGGTGAGAGGAAAAAGATTTTTCACACAGAGGGTGGTTCATTTGTGGAATGAACTGCCAAAGGAAGTGGTAGTTGCAGGTACAGTTACAACATTTAAAAGACATTTGGATAACAACATGAATACGAAAGGTTTATAGCGATATGGGCCAAATGCAGTCAAATGGGACTAGTTCAACTTGGGAAACTTGCTCGGCACTGACGAGTTGGATTGAAGGACCTGCTTCTGTGCTGTATGAATGACTTCATGACTGTATTTTTCAAAATTGTATTTATTCTGCAATAGTGCCTTCAGAAGGCTGAAATGTAAGACCATGATTTAAGAAAGGAGGAAAAGAGAAAACATAGACTCGTTATAAAGCTAAAAACTACAGATGTTGGAGATCTGAAATGAAAACAGGAATTGCTGGAGAAATGCAGCAAGTTTGGCAATGTCTCTGGAGAGAAAAACAGAGTTAACTTTTTGAGCCTGATATGTTTTCTTCAAAACTGTTCTTCAGGAATGCGGTGGTGAGGTAGTTGATGAACTAAGATCTAGAATCATGGATTGGCCTCAAGGAGCTGAATGGCCTATTCCCGCTCCTATGTTCCTACGATTGTCCTTGCATCCTTTCAAATAGAATCATCCCCCGACTACCTGTAATTCATCCTGTCCAACATGACTCAGCGGGCTTCACTCTTTTCTGAGTTAGAAGTTTGTAGTTTACATATCACTTTGCTGGCTTGAGAATATGATCCAGTCTGTCACTCCATGGAGTGTTGCATGGCTTAATGTGCTGGGTGAAACATTAAATTGAAGCTATTCTTGCTGTTTTATGTAAATGTTAAATATGTTAAAATGTTATTGAAAAATGAGCAGTTGAGGTATCTTTACTAAAAACTGAAAGAATTGTGGATGCTGGAAATCAAAAACAAAAACTGAAATTGCTGGAAAAACTCAGCAGGTCTGGCAGCATCTGTGGAGAGGAATCAGAGTTAACGTTAATGATTCTTCCTCAGAATGGATATCTTTAGTGTCTGGTTAATAGTTATCCCAAAACCAATTTCATTGTGGTAAATTATTACGCATTGGTGTTTGTGAGATCTTCTTGTGTGCAAATTGGCTGCCATATTTCCACATTACAATGGTAACTTAAGTACTTGACTGTGTATAATGAACTTTGGGACATGTGCAAGTAGTGGAATGCATTATAGAAAAACATCTCTTCCATATTACTGTTCTGTGAAATGTGCCATGTTATTGATCATTGATCTTGCAGTACACCCAGCACATGGCAGATGCCTTCCCATCACCTCCACATTTTCTAATCAGAATGCTTTGTGTTGCTGTTGCAGGTTTATGTCAAAATGCTGTTGCTGCTTTGTATGAACGTAGCCAGTCTTTTCATAAGCTACCTTTCTGTCCGGGCACAACGAATGGCATTCTTGGAGACCAGGAAAAACATTGAAGGCCGACTCCTGTTGGAGGATGAAAATGAAAGACAGGTAATAAAAGTGGGGGAGGAAAATGGATTTCCACAGATGATGCATTACTGAGTATATTTTTTGCTGAGCATATCCCTCAGTTCCACCCACCTACCCTTTGACCACATACCCCAGTCTCAACTAGTCAGAATGTCATCAATTTATTCAGTCACTGTGCCCTTCAATCCCACCAACTCACTGTCTTACCATATCCCTCAGTACTGTCTGGTCATTGTCAATCCCACCGACTCACCTTCTTACTGTATCCCACAATGCTGCCTGGTCAACTTTACACAATATCCCTCAATCCCAGCTGCTCACCTTGGAGTGGAACGTGCAGGTGGTGATATTCTCATGTGTTGGCTGCCCTTATTCTTCAAGGTGGTAGAATCATAGACTTGGAAGGTGCTGCTGAAGGAGCTTTAGTGAGTTGTCGCACTGCATCTTGTAACTACCACACACTGTTCTTTCTGGGGGTCTGATTGTGATGGAGGATGTGAAGGTTTAAGGTGGTGGATGTTGTGCCAATCAGGTGGACTTCTTTGCCCTGGAAAGGCATGGGTTTATTACAATACAAAAGGAGGTTATTTCACATTATCAAGTATATACCATTTCTTTGCAGAGCAGAACAATCAATTCCATTCTCCCAGTCTACCCTAGTAAGGTTCAAAGACTTAAACAGGAAAGGGAGCTAGGAATGGAATTGTTGGGTCCAAGTTAGTTTTATTTTGGGAGAGGGGTGATGTCGGCAGATTTAAAGGAGAGAGAAAAACAAAACTCGAAGAAAAAACGTCATTGGCAATATCAGCTCACAAGAGGGGAAGCTAGGTATTTTGTAGTTTAGTTGGAAAAAAGTTGGGGGAAAAGTGGGTAGATCTAATGGACAAGATGAGTTTAGAGAGACATGGGGGCAATAGGTCAGGGATGAGAGAAAGGTGCAAATTCAGGCCTAGGGTGGAAGGAGCATTGAAGAAGGTGTCATCAGGTGAGGAGCAAGACAGAGGCAAGTGATTGGATTTTCTTGACTCCAAAGTCCATGAGCTCCTCACACTTGATGGAAGTTAGGCTAAGATGGTGGGAGACGTGTTTAAGAAAGCAGTTTATGGCAGAGAAAATATGCACTTCTATTCCTCTGAAGTTTGCAATCTAGGATGATCATGATGTACTAAAGCATTTCTACTAACTGCGAGCAAGCCTTAATAGTATTTTAAGTCATCCAGTCAGATATGCAATGGATGAGTAAACCAATTGTCCACAATATGCTTTCAGAAATACATCAGATCATTTCATTTTTTTCAAGAAATTTTATCTTTCACTTGTCCACTTATTTCACAAGCTTGTTTCTGTCCACCTCAAGTTTATAGAGTCATAGATGTATACAACACAGAAACAGACCCTTCAGTCCACCTCTTCCGTACCAACCAGATATCCTATATAAATCTAGTCCCATTTGCCAGCATTTGGCCCATATCCCTCTAAACCTTTCCTATCCATG